CAGGAAATGATTTTTTTCCTGCAGTTCGCCTTACGCAGACGTTTGGCTCTTCTTCTCTTTCATCAAACTTTAATTAAAGGCTAAGCCCAGTTTCTCTCTGGATGCTGTCGTTTGAAGGACAGTTTCAAACACTCGAGACTAAAAACATCTGTCTGCAGCACTTTATTACACAGAGAGATAATGTTTAAGACGGAGTTTAAATTCAACAGTTGCATCTAGAGAACTATTTGTAGCACGAAATGAAGCCAAATCACAACAGGTTTCATAGCAGGAAGTAATGGTGCCTGACGATATTACTCTGGAGGAAAACTGAATAGTATCTCTGGGTTTTGTTAAATATCACTTCAATTAAACAGTCTGACAGAACAAAGTCAAACTGTCAAGGATTTGCGGACGATAAAATTGTCCAGAATTTGTGACTGTGTGATGAATTGTGTCTGAAACGTCTGCATCGACATCCAGTCACATGATTCACCCTGGCTCCAGTTCACAGTGTCCTCCACTGTAAATGCTATTGAGGAGCAGGAAAAATTTCTAAGCTGTGCAGCAACTGATGCGTTTCATCTTTCCAACAGACCAAAAACAAAAAAACAAAAAAAAACAACAGTGGGGTTGTTTAGACTAAATTTAAGAAAGAGTAAAACAGCCTGAGTGAACAGTGAGTGAGATTTTAGTACAAAATGTCAATTCAGTCCAGATGTTTCGCCAAAATATCTACTATACGAAGGCCACATGAAGAAATACCGGCCTGACTCACTGGATGTAGGCTGTGGCTATAAATCTGACATTAGGCAATTTCAGGAAGCGTTATCCTCCCTTTACCGTTTTCAAAATCCCCTTCGCTGCAGGAAACGACAACAGCCTCCGAGCTGCGACCTACACGCTGAAAATGATGATGAAGATCTGGATCGTGCACTCACACAGTCGATATAGATCTTTGCTGTTTAATCTGCCGTTTTGCTTGTGGGGACATGTGCCATGTTAATGACAGTGTTCAGCTCCACGTGTTCCTCCTCCTCCTCGCTGCACCGCCCGAGGTTATTAGCTCGAAGAAATGCAAACAATCCAAAGCATTTTTCCCCCTATAGCAGAGTGAGGATGTGGTTTCTCTGAGTGTTTTACCTGAAATCTTTATTGAATCAGTCAGAAAACAGTGAGCCAATCAGAGGAGAGGCTCAGAGCCTCCTCTCTTCTGATTGGCTCACTGACCTGTTGTCACTAGAGCTCCAGAGAGAAGCCTGAGAGAGGAGATGTAAAACTACACTGAGATGGTTTTTGGTTCTTAAAACCACAATCAACACTTCAAATAAAACACAGAAGAAGAAGAAAAATATGGAGCTTTAAAATGACAATTTTCTCTTTGTCTGTTTTGCATTTCTGACCGGTGAATATTAGAGCGATAACCCACTCCGGTTTAGATGTGACGTAGAAATATGTTCCAACGTAGAATAAATACTCTCAGAAGCAACACAACTCGGAGCTTTGTGTCGTCTGCGTCACGTCAGTCGTTGCGTTGAGCACAGACCAAATACAGGCAGGAGTAGTGGAGGTACGGAAGCCTGGATGTGCTGATCCGAGGGAGGACACGTGATGAAAGTGCTGCTTCTCTGGAGAGTTGATGTGTGATGTGTGATGTGTGCTGGGAAATGGGACAGTGGTGTGTGTGTGTGTGTGTGTGTGTGTGTGTGTGTGTGTGTGTGATCTCACACAGAAAACAATGAGTGATGGTGTTGTTTAATACTGCTGGTGTTTGTTGCCCTTCAGAGACAGAAAGAGAAAAACTAATCTCATTAAATCTACTGCCACAAACTCAGCTTCACCTCCGGGTTTTTTCTTCTATTTTTACGTATTAATTTCTCTATTTTTTTCATCTAAGTGTTTTCAGGAAAAAAGTGTCTTTTGTTTCACACATTTCAGAGAAAGGCTAAAATGGCCAACTGTTATTTTCTTTCCTTTTTTTTTTCTTCTTTCTGTGGTTTTGTTTATAACTCCTTTAATTGCTCTTTTGTCAGCGCGCGCCAACCCTAATGACTCCAGACTTTGTTAGGCATGCTGCACATGGGCACACACAAAAACACACCCATGGGAGTGTTGTAAGCCCCCGTGCAACACATTATTTTCTCCATACCTTTTTTTTTTTTAATGTCGTTTGGCGGGTGGTGGGCTTTAATTGGTGTTGGTGTTGGTGGGCGGGGCCTATTCTCCTGGGTCTGGCAGCCCACCCTGAACTCTGTCTATCAGCTTATAAATCTGGCAATGGAGCAGAGCGGCGGCTAATGTAGCCAGCAGACACACCAGCAGCAGAGTTAGAAGAAAGGGGAGAAATGGATGAGGAGGGAGGTTAGAGAAAGTGTTTGTCGCCCCCGGTGGTTCATACTCGGGTCGTTTGCAATGACACTCCAGGACCTGGATTGTCAAACGCACGGATAACCACCGGTATTATAACTTTAACATGTTAAAAATTCAGAATTATCGATTAAAAACGAAATACGCAGATGTGTCTGTTATTGAGCAGAACGAAACGAGAGATCAAGAGAGAGAAGAGACGAGAGCGTCACGGAGAGAACAAGTGCAAAGCTGCAGAGAGACAGCTGTAGAAACAGAGAGGAGTGAAGAAAGGAGTGTGACCGAAAGAGGAGAGCAAGAAACATACGGAGAGGAAGAGAGGGAGGGGTGAGAAATAACAGCAGAAGAAGAGAGAGAGAGAGAGAGAGAGAGAAAAACATAAGAGAGGGAGAGGAGAAATCGTAATAAAGCAGGAGGGGGAGGGGGGACAGACAGATGAGGAAAAAGAGGGGAAGACGACATGGTGGGCAGACACGGTGGTCCTCAGACGTCTGCTCGTCCTCCTCTCATCATTTAATCTTCTCTCCTCGTCTCATTCCTCCGTCTGAATCGCTGTCCTCCCATCTGTTTCTGGCTTCCTCTGTGTTTCCCAGTCCCAGTTCACCATCACTTAAAGGAATAGTTCACCAGAGGATCACCGAGCAAAACTTTCATCTGCCTCACGTGTCATTCAACGCAACGCTGAAGTCTCTATTTACACACAACACGCGTTAGTTAAAGCAGCTCCACGTCCACGTATTTCACATTTAAACCAGTTCAATTTGAGTTTCTGATCATCTTGTGAACCTTTGTTGGATCAGTAACCAGCTCTGAGCTCTGACTGCTTCTCTGTCATCATAAAACAAGCTTTTAGATTCTGCCTCACAAGTCATTATACTGTATGTGCTGTTGACAACATGGCGGCGGGAATGAGTGCTCCGGAGAGTTAAGCATCATATAATGCAACCGCAGGGAAATGTAACTGCTGACACAAAATAATGAGATGCAGGGAGGAATGACTCAGCACTCCCTGCAGAAGGTTTACAATTAGAGTGCTTTGACTTCCTCTCCTGCATCCTGACGGGTTAATCAGTGTGCGCTTGTAATGAGCTTACGTTAGCTTGTCATAAGCCGGTTTCCATGGCAGCTTTGCAACGCAACATAGAAGCGATGTTTTAGAAAAGCCGACAAAACACAATTGCGAATGGTCTGTGTTTCCATCGAGTGATGTTACGTGAATAAAGCCGTGTTTTTACTACTTTACAATATCATTCCAATCAAAAAAGCTATTTGTAAGTTTTGCTATTGCTACGCCAGAGTTAGCATCAACTGTTAGCATTAGCTGTTTACTTACCAGGCTTGGCAAGAGTTTATAAGATAAGAGGTTATAATACGTCCTCTGAGCAGCGATGCTACAATGACTTGCTATCCGAACGTGACGTGACAGTCCGACAGGGCTGGGGCTAGCTGGTTAGCATGCTAACTCCAGTACAAGAAAAGAAAAAGAGAAAGAAATAGAAGCAAAACAAAAGGGTTGCTTTCCACAGCTGGAGACAGCTGTTGGTGAGTAAAAGAATAAAGTTTCATGCTGAACTCGCAACGTAGCTAGTGGCAAGTTAACAGCCCTTATGCTAACGTTAGCTATGTAGCAATAGCAAAACTTGCGAATAGCTCCTTTTTAACGTGACGATGGATTTCCAGCAGCCTGAACTCCCCGGGGCACAACTTGAATGAATGGTCTGAAAAACGGCCTCATATGAGTGTATTAATTTTTTTGTGACATTTGATAGTTTTTTGAAAATTTGCATGTTTCCATCACTCGTTTTTAAGTTAGCTATTTCAGATTGCACATTAAGCATGTTAATGGAAAGGCACCTATAGATAAATCACGCCTGGCTCACGAATGTAGGCTGCTAAGTTACAAGAAATAGCAATAACCTTAGCGACTAGCTGGTGAGCAGCTAAAGAGCCAGATATTGGTCTCAGAAACTGGTGGAGACCAAACACAGAGCTAAAACGAATATTAGATTTACATCAATCTGGTGGACACACGTGTGACCTCAACAGATAAATAAACCACACATCTAAAGGAGCTATTCGCAAGTTTTGCAATTGCTACATAGCTAACGTTAGCATAACAGCTGTTTACGTACCAGTCTAGAAAAAACATTGTGAGTTCAGTATCAAACTTCATTCCTTTACTCACCAACAGCTGCCTCCAGCTGTGGAAAAAAACCCTTTGGTTTTGCTTGTATTTCTATCACTTCTTTTCCCGTACGGAAGTTAGCATGCTAACCTGGCTAGCTGCGGCCTAGCTGGACTGACTCGTCACATTCGGACAGCGAGCCACTGTAGCGTCCTGAAGTAGCGCTCCTCAGAGGACGTATATAACCTCGCCTTGTAAACACAACAATGGCTGAAGCTCTTGCCGTTAATGCTAACACTAACACTATGTAGCAATAGCAAGACTTACAGATAGCTCATTTAATAGCTAACAACTTAATGAGAGGATGACATGTACTCTCAGCTTCTTCTTTTGCTGCCATGTTCTTTGAAAAAATTTCAGTTTTAGGAATTGCAAAAATCATCATGTAATTTTTAATGTCTTTGTGAATTTGCCCCATTTTCTCCTGTTCACTTCTGCTGTGAGCTCACTGGGGTATCTGCGTCCACAGGGTCTCCACGTTCAAGTGTCCGTTTGACTAGAGGTGCGGGATCAGAGGGGAGCTGGCAGCGTTTTCTCAGGGTAAGTTATATCTGCCCATAGATCTAAATGATGTGATTATGTTTTATCTCCAGCTGCTTTAAAATCTGTTACTGGACTCTTCTTCTTCTTCTTGATATTGCCACCTTCTTCCATCATCAGTTCATCAGCTGAAGGACAACAACACAGTTTTGCTCCTGGTTCTTTCCTCAAACATAAAATATTTCATGATCATTTTTACAATCACAAACACTATGATCAACACTTCATCTCTGACTGTCACAAACAAAAAACAAACCGGAATCAGTTTCTCTTTGGGCGAAAATGATCGGCTTACAAAGTAAAAAACCATATCAGCGCAACCTGAGAGAAATGAATGAGAAAGTTTCTTCCGGAAACCGATGTTCCAGCTCCGTACGGAGGCAGAGGACCCAGGGGAGGAGAGCACTGTGGGAAATAGGGAGTTCCCCTCTGTCTCCAATCCGTCCGTCTGTCTCTCAGAGTGGTGCTCTGTGAGGACAGATGGAGGCAGACAGGAGGAAGGTGCATGTGGATATCATATAAACATGTCAAACTCGTGTCTGATGTCCACGAGAGCTGCAGTCGACTGGAGATGCTAATAAACCAGTCTGATCTGGAGAAGAAAAAAAAAAAACCGTCAGAGCGCAGGCGGCCAGGGTTACTCCTGCTTTTTGTTTTTTTCTAACTCCTCTGATCCTCCCACCTTCTCTGTCTGCTGCCACTCTGCTGCTCCTGCTGGCTGGGGAGGAGGAGGAGGAGGAGAAGGAGGAGGAGGAGGAGGAAGAGGGATGCAGGGAGAGTACACCTTACCTCCCTCCCTCCCTTCCTCTCTTTCTTCCTCCCTCTCTCTGTCTCTCCCTCTTCACTCCACAGCGACAGCAGCACCACTCACCAACACACCACAACACACCACTGCTGTCACTGGCACGCTAACACACACATACACATTCACACACTCACACACACACACACACACACACACACACTCACACACTCACACACACACACACACACACACTGAGTGGCATCCTCAACACAGACCGAGACGCCCTTGGACTGCTGCAGGCGAGGTGAGTGGGTAAATATTTGAAACCTCCTCTGTGTGTGTGTGTGTGTGTGTGTGTGTGTGTGTGTGTGTGTGTGTGTGTGCATGCTGTGTTTGAAAGAGTTTGTGTAAGTTTGTTAAGCTTGTGTGCTTCACTGTGTGTGTACATGTTTGTGTGTGTGTGTGTCCGTGTTGGCTGGTTGCATGTCTGCATGTGCTGGTGTGGTTTGCATCTGCTCTCTGTGTGTGTGTGTGTGTGTGTGTGTGTGTGTGTGTATTTACGAGGCACAGCAGAGCCAATGAGACTTGTGTTTTGCACCAGACCAAAACAAATCCACAAAATAATGCTGACTCTCTTTCAGGAGTGTGTGTTTTTGTGCAGTTGTGTGTGTGTGTGTGTGTGTGTGTGTGTGTGTGTGTGTGTGTGTGTGTGTGCCTGGAGAGGCCAGAGTCTGTCTGGAAACTTGTCAGCTGTTGTGAGATGTGTGTGTGTGTGTGTGTGTGTGTGTGTGTATATGTGTGTGTGTGTGTGTGTGTGTGTAAACTGGTGAGGTAGAGGCTAACATTCGTGCCAGTGCTACTTGTCAAACTGTGGATTCTGGTTTTTGTGGCTCTGAGCTGCTGCAGAGATTTACAGGATAAAACCTCCACGTCCACTCTCGACTTTCACTTTCAGAACCTTCTCTGCTGACTCTCTGCAGTGTGAGAAAGGATCATCTACATGCACAAAATGACTCCTGGTGCTAACACCAAGCGGAGGTTGTGTCAGTGTCGAAGTCAGGAGCCGCTTCAGATGATGAGTGACTCAGGCGTCAGATATCAGGGGTCACTCTTCCTCCATCTGATGATGTCAGAAGATTTTATGACTCAGGTGCTGATTTAATTATTTGCAGGTCAAAAAAATGTCAAGATGTTAAAACTTAAGCTTAAATTTGTCTGAAAAGTGAAAGTTTGTCAGATGTTTAGGTCGCGTACAACTAACGTTTCAACTGCATTTAAACTGAAGTGGCTGCAAACTTTACAGAAACACCTTCTGATCCTGAAACTCCTCCACAGCTGAGAGTGTAACTGTAACTGGGAGTCTCACAGGTAGATCTACTCATGATTTAACAGCGGTTGTCTGAACGTCCGTCACAGTTCGTCACAGTAACACTGAGAGGATTTGCGCAGCCGTGTCAGATTGTCTGATGGGAAAGCGGATCAAACGTTAACCTTGCATCCTAAAGGCAGATCCAGAGTGAAACTAGTCAACGCTTCTCCTGCACAAAGTGTCAGAGCGACTACAACAGATTGAAATGATGAGGAGCTTTCATGCTGCAGAGAGAGTCAGAACATCCATAGAAACCTGTGGAAGCACAGTGTAACCCACAGTTGTATACCATGTTCCAGACAGCTGTTGTTTTGCCTAAACGCTGCTAAATGCACTGGTTGTGCTTTTTCATGTAGCGCGATAGAGAAGCACTGTTTCCTCTTTGGGTTGCTTGTTGCTTAACGTCTGTTCAGCCTTGTTGATGTCACTGCTCATAATAACTACGAGCTCTTTTCATATTTGCAGTTTGTAAACATTAAAGTACGTGCATTTGTTTTGGAGCAGCAGCGTCGTGTACTTTACCATTGTGCTATTAAACTGCACAGACTCGGCGGTCAGACAAACCATTAACAGACTCACTCGCCTTCGTAAAAAGCTGCTCCAGAGTTAATTCATTTATTTTCTTTTTCATTGTGAGTGAATGTAACACAGATGAACTGAGCGCCGTTGCGTTCCTGGGAAAGCCAGCCACGAAGAGCGAGTCAATAAATAGGTCAGAGTTCAAGTGTGAGCAATCTAACCCAGCCTCCGTTTGCCCCGGGGGCAACTAAACTCCACTGACCTCTCCTCAACTTCTCAGACTGCCTCGCTTACTCATCCTCAGAGTCGTTCCCTCTCTCTCTTTCCATCTCTCAGCCATCATCCACTCTCCCTATCTCTCTGTCTGTCTGCCCATCTGTCTGTCTGTCTGTTGGCGCTCTGTTTTACACTTTGCATGTGTGCTTGAGAAGGGACTTCTTCTTCTTCTTCTTCTTCTTCTTCTTCCTCTTCTTCTTCTTCTTCTCCGTCTGTCCACTGACATCCACAGACACCCGACACACAGTATGGGACACACTGGGGTTTGTCTAATCACTAGTATTAATGTCACAAACATTGAAGAATTTAAAGTATGCAGTGGTTATTGTGACTGTGGTTTCCTGGGTTTAAAGTGATGAACAGTCGGTACATTACCTGCAGTAGATCCTGAGCAGCGTCCGCCCGGGAGCACCGGTACACCAGCAGAGCCAATGTGCTGCCGTGGGCGGGGCCACCAGGACACAGAAACATGTTTTAGACACTTTTAAAAAACGAAAACCGAAACAATCCAATATCCGTTTAAATGTAGTTTCATGTAGAATATTTTCAGCAGCTTAACTTCCCGTGGAAACAGCCGCTGAACTATTCCTACGCACACGCACTGCAACGGAGCCACTGATCACGCCGTTTCCTGCTTGCGGCGTGATACAGGTCGCTCGTCAAAACAACCCGAACTCTCCCTTTTATATCTGGCCGGGATCATTCCTCACTGTGAGCTGTAGAAACTGCCAGTTGACGTTGTGAAGGTGTTGTTCATCGCATACAGAATGCTAACTAACTGTGCTAACTATGCTAACACTTGTATGACCCGCACGCTGCTTCATGTACTTGGGTGTGTATCATCAAACGCAGGTTTCCCAGGGTTGTCCCAGTGGACAGACCAGCACCTTCCACAGAAGCTTGTAGCTGCAATTTTTTCGATAAAGGTAAAATATGTCACAACACACGATTATAAATTATTATTATGATGAATGCAGCATGAATCATATGAACACGCTGGTTTACAGACCCCAGCAAAAATCCCACTCGCCAAAATAACTGAAATGTTATATAATCTTTTGTTTTTCCTTGCATATCTTTCAGCCCAAGCTTGCAGGCATCTCTGTGTGTGTGTGTGTGTGTGTGTGTGTGTGTGTGTGTGTGTGTGTGTGTGTGTTTTACAAATGCGGTCTGTTTACAGTTGCATTTACTGCATCATAGATGAATGTCTACAGATCAATATTCTAATACTCAGCTGTCATGGCAACGTGATATTAATATTTCTCAGTGGGTCACAATATGTCGGTCCTCTGCAGGAAATACGCTGTTGATCAGCGCTGAATAAGTCACGCTGTCGATGTGCACAGGAGCAATATTCAAAATCAACAGCTTCATATTGATCAGCAGGTGGTTGTGAGGACGGACACAGTGACACCTGTCTGTAGAGCTGCAACTAATGTTTGTTTAAATTCATTTTTATTATCAATGAATCTGTTGATAACTTTAAAAATAAATAAATGGTTTTCACATTTCTTTTCCAGTCCAAAATAAGAGATTCACTTTCCAGGTGTGTCAAATAGAAGCGAGCAACAAAATCCAGGAGATGAATTAAACAATTAATCCATAATCAAAGTTTTTGATTAATTGTCTGTCTGCTACTGGATAACTGACTCATCATTTAGGCGCAAACGTATTGTAAACCTGCGCAGCATTTTCATTTAAATGATGATATAAGTAGAGCTGATACTCATATCACAGGTGTCTGGCTGCTCTCCAGTGTTAGATAATAAGGAGCCAGTATTGGCCCGGTGTATCGGTCTGACCGCTCCGCTCCAGCACAGTCCTGCCGGGGACAGACTACTGCTGTCTGTCTGCGGAGGCTGCCAGCGCTACAAAAACAAGACAGCGAGGCGAGGGGCCCCAGGGGGTCGTCAGGGCGGGGACGGCACAGAGGTGAGGGAGGGGGGAGAGACGGGGAGGACGAGGGGGACTGTGTTTACTTTTGTCCTGAGGGCCTGCCCTGCCCGGCTGGCTGGGAAGCGACAGCAGAGGGGAGGAGGAAGGAGGAGGAAGACCCTGTCTGGATGAGCAAGAGGCA